AAATAAATCAATATATTTTGAAAATGTAATCGTGTATAGAAAAATGCAAATATGAACAACCAGTGAAAATTTCATGTATCTACGGTCAGTTGTTTTAAACTTACACCAAAAACCAAATTCAATTTTGTGAAAAATCGATTTTGTGTAAAATTCCTCCTTTTCCTTCATTTTTCTTTTGTTTTTCTTGGAGCTTTTGAAAATTACCGGCAATTTTAAATTTTGACCTCCCCAATGCACCAACGATAATCACTGTCCAATCGAACAAGTTACTGTAGTTGAAAATTGAAGCATGTTTTCGACTACTTATCGTGTAAGCAGACACAAAAAAAAACATAAAAAATTTAAAAAAAAAAAACACACACATCATTGTAAAATCAATACATTCATCGTTACACTCAGAATCTAAAATGATTATCCACCAACGTTCGAAAATACGTTACTATGTCTGTAAACATAAAAAACAAACCTTATTCGAATTTTCATGAAGTAATTTCCTGTTTTGTATTGTAAAAATATAGAATAAATTCTTATTAATGCAACTTGTTGCAGTTTTGGGATTCACGTGAGAGATATTCTCTCGTTCTGTGTATCGTGCTTATCAACTTATAATGAGGTCCACCAGTGCAGACTAACTTATGTGAAGCACGAACCGAATGTTAAAGTTCTAAGTTTTTCGTTGAATATAGTGCGTCGTCCATCGTGAACGACCGAAGCTCGCGTATAAACACTTAGCCCAGTCAAATTAGACCAAAAATCGCCAATTTCAGTACTAATTCCACAAAAGCTGTATTTTGATTTTTTTTTTAGTTTATACCTCACTTATAAACATACTAAAAGTCCTGACACCTACCCCCTCCAAAGGAGTAGCTCTTCATTCCTCTTCAAAGGGTGGCGTGCCCCTTCCACTTTTTTTTTCTTATAACTCGGTAGTTTTACAAGTTACTATTAAAATACCTAGAACCAAAATTAAAGACTATAAAATTAACCATAGACTTATCTTACATTTAATATATATATGTTTCCGTAAGTGTTATATTTTTAAAAAATATAAAAAATAACATTTTTTTTATCTTTTTTTTATTGTGTTTGAGCAAAAAATAAGAAACATATCGGTATTTTTACAAATTGGTTAAAAATACATATCCCTTTTCCGGAATTACACGAAATTATGTCAATTTCAACAGGAATTGTAGGAAATGAACAAATTAATTGTTATGAAGCACAATAAGTGGGCCAAAAGACAATGAAAAATGTTATAGGTGATAATTTTAGTGATATCAAGTTACAACGAGCAAATCGCGTAATCCCTTTAGATTTTGCTAAGAAACTAACGGTTTGTCTTAGAGATGACATTTTTTAAATTGATCCTTTATTACTATTCCAAAGAATAATGATAAGAGTTAAAACTTAAAACTTAAAACTGACGAATAGTTCAAAGAATTTTTTGAATACGAGTTATCACCTATTCCATTTTCATTGTTCGATAAATCAGCTCAGATGAGAAAAACTAAAAAATCGATTTTATATGATATTGTGTTTCTAAGTTCTAACTACAACAAACTCATAATATAGGTACCTAATAATGTTCTGTAAAAAAATGTTATTATAATAATCGATGGAGGTTTCTTACTACATCGCGTTGGATGGCCCTTCAACTTCGACGTATGGCAATATCATAGAAAATTATGTAAGCTACGTGAAAAGACACTATATGAATCTAACTGCTTAGTTGTATTTGATGGATACTGAAATAACAAATTAATATTAAAACTTTTTAAAAATAATATTAAAATAATATGTACCTATACGAGTACAAATATAATTTTTGAAGAGTCGTTGGATGTACTAACCACTCAAAAAAATTGTTATCTAACACCGAGAATAAAATAAGGCTTATAACATTGATGACCGAAAAGTTTTAACTTCGGGTATTCTTGTTCACTAAGCCGAATATGACTCTCAGATTTACTTATTGTCAATACAGCTATACGCAAAACTGACGACAATATACGAATAGTGGTCATAGGAGAGGATATTGATTTACTTATACTGTTATTAACATTAAATCCTCCAAAAAACACAATAATATTTGAAAAAACTGGTAGAGGACAAATAGAAACAAGATCTTATGATGTTGGAAGTCTACAAAAACATTTTAAAATTCACTGCAATTATATAAACAAATTGAATATTTGATATCAAAAAAATTAGTCTTACGTACATTTTAACTACCTATGTTATTAATGAATTAGAGTTTATATAAAATTAACAACTTTTAATATGTCCATAAAAACCTTATATATCCACGGTAAAAATATATTATAATTTCCATTCATAACAATTCCCGTTTAAATTAAAAAAAAAATGTTAAGAGCTAAAAGTAATAATTTATGTAATCAATATTTTACAAATAAATCAGCTACAACACCGAAAAACAAAAATCTACAACACAAATTATTTGGTGTATAATAATTTAAAATCTTAAGACTACTCTCCTGAAAAATTTAGTGTTGGGGACACACAAATTTTGGCCTCTTAGCCATCGATATATATATTAAATGTAAGATAAGTCTATGGTAAATTTTATGGTAATTCGATGGTAAATTTTAATTTTGATTTTAAGTATTTTTATCGTAACTTGTAAAACTAAGGAGATATAACTTATAAGCCAAAAAAGTGAAAGGGGAACTCCACCCTTTGAAGAGGAATGGAGGTCTACTCCTTTGGAGGGGTGTCAGAACTTTTAGTATGTTTAATGTTTATAAGTGAGGTATAAACTAAAAAAAAATCAAAATCCAGCTTTCGTGGAATTAGTTTCGAACTTTTTTCTAATTTGACTGGGCTAACATTGCGACCGATGACTGGGCAGTCATTCATCTGTGCTGTAGTAAGACTACCCATCTGGGCAGACTTGCAAGACACAGGTTTTGAGATATCCCACATGAACTCGAGCAAACGGTTTGAAGCCGGTCAGTGGTACAATAGTTGGATCATTCTGGCATTGCACCGTATGTCAACCATCGTTTGAGTTCTTACCCCTCCCAGTCGCTGTAGTCATTCTGTGTTTTCGTTGTTAAAAATTAATTTCTATAACAGCTCATCTCTCTGTAAAAAATGACCCAGAATTTCTAAGTACAGGTTGCTACTTGGACGTATGCACTACGCGTATTGTTTGTTTGATCGGGAGACTCGGGGAACCCTTGAGAGTTAAGAGTTGCGTTGAACTTGCATTATCAGAAAGTAACATACCAATACGTCTTAGCGTGTCGCTTACCTACATCACAATAGAGACTGCAATTATAATTTTTACCGAAACACCTTTTCATGTGCTCGGAGACATGATCAAATATGTATCAAGTAGGTATGTATCTAGTACTAATGACTAATAGTAAAACAAAATAGGTACTTTAATCACAATTAATAATTTAAATTCTGAAATTAAGTTGTTGAAAGCTGAGGTGATGTCTGATGTTGGTCAGGACTCAGGAGTAGGTGGGTATTTTTGTTATATTCTGAAGGTAATATGAGCATACTCTATTTAGTTTTGAACATGAGGGGGTGACCAAATGTGGAATGGCTGGTTGAGAAGGCAGATTTACATTTTGGGGGGAGGAGTTTTGAGTTTTTTGGTTTTATTTCATTTGCAGCGTGTGCATGAATATATGGGGTGTCGTGAGAAAATGATTCGTGATTTTTGACACAGCGGATGTAGCTTGTAAATGTACAATATGAGGTGGTGGTCCGAATATGTATTATTGGCAATTCTGACATTGTATAGCTCTCACGGTGTTTATGACGTTCTTCAATCATGAATTTGGTACCTATAGAAAATGGATCATGGATGTGATGACGAACATTTTTTGTCGTACTTCATCCTTAATCAGGTCTAAAAAAAAGGGGGGAGTGATATTTTTTTTGTCGTTGTTTATATTCACTACTTGCAGTACCTATCGAGAGGTTATATATATATATAGTTTATTATATAATCATATTCAGGCTGTACACTGCGCCCAGGACGAAGACCACCGTAGTTAGGTACACGTCACAGCTATAGTTTATTCAAAATTCAATATAATTTCATAATAATTATATACTTAATTTAAAACTGATAATTTACAATATTCGGTATATTCTTAGAACATATTAAATAATTTGACTTTTAAGAAATCCAATAAATATAACTTATTTGAATCGAAATTGAAAATTTAAATTATTCAATCTTTTGCTTAATATATAGGCATTATATTATCAATTTATTAAATACTGTTGTTGATAACTGAACAATTCATTACGAATACATAAGGTAATTGAGAATTACATTCCTCATCTCAACTGATCTTGCTGAAAAAAAATTTAGACGTATTTATATAATTTATAAAAAAAAAAATTAAATATTTAATTATAAGCTACCAATGACTTATCCTTTGAAATTTATAATACTATTATATTATGTTAATCTTGTTATTTGAAGGTAAGACCTTATCAATAAAAATGTCAAATTTTCAATTTTCTTTATTTTGCCTGAATGTTGTAAAATGATGTTGAAACTAATTCTAAATATTTTTTTGTGAGCTGTAAATTAAATTCATGTGTGAGTAAGTGGCATAGTTATAAGGGGTGATGATAACCCCCTCTCAAGACATTTTAGATTCTGAGTGGAGATATGAATGTATTGATTTCACAATGATATGTGTTTTTTTTGTGTCTTTACTCTTTATACATGTTAAGTAGGTAGTCAAAATAATACATCGATGTGCAGCTTTGAGGATAGTTTCTAATATAAAAATGAATCTAATTTGCACTATAGGTAAGTTTCATAGAATCGAATGATATATTTTTTTTTTATTGAAAATGGACCATTAGTTTCTGAGTCTCTTATAATAATTACAAATATATTCAAACTATATTAGTATATTACTATACCAACATTATTATGAAATTATTGTTTTAGACAGAATAAAATATAATATTGGTATGTGCGGTATTTATTAAAACTTAAATTATTTACCAGCTTCAGCAGCTTGAGTAATTTTAGCATCTTCTTCTAGAAATAGAATCAAACATTTTAAATTATGTTGAATTTTTTTAGGATAATAATCATTAGATATATACACATAAATATAATAAAATACATATTATAGATCATGGATATTTTAATGAGTCTAAACTATTTATAGCCATGAGACATTTTGAAAATGTTGTAAGTTATTTTTCAGTTAGAAATGTACCTACATAAGATTTTTTTTTCTTAGCTTGTACTAAACATTTGAATCGAAGATTTCACTTAAGTTTTTCTATCAATTACAAAAATAAAGTATAGGTACTCAAACGGAACATTATTTTTTGATGCGTGTTTGAACTTAATTAACAATAATTTTTACGATATTTCATATTCAACGGTAACTGATAGAATTCCTATTATTCGATTATTGATATTTTGTTGTATTTCTAAAACAAATATCCGTGGACTCTTGAAATGTTGACTAAATATTTATATTACAATTTTACATATAGGTATGGTAAAATATTCAAAAAATTTTGACTGTTCAATGTACATTGTACAAGTATTATCGACTATCATTATTATCATTGTAGATTGTATACTCTGGCCCACGAGAGTCCTCCATATGTCCAAACGCGTCAGTCGCTGCGTATCTGGATGTTGCCGAATAGTGGAAATGACATCATGGTGGCAGAAAACAGACTTCGGGTATTACTATATCGATGAGCGGTTTAAGTATGGACTCTCGTGAGCCAGAGTATATTATATGATAACGGGTAATAAAAGGCACAGTTCTATCTCAACGTTGTGTTAGTGAAAATGCCGGTCAATATCCTGGTCGTAAAGTTATAATCACATTATTATAAAATAGTGTTATTTATTATTCAATATTCAATTGTTATTCAATTATTAGAAATAAAATCATTATTATTCAATATACAATCCACTAGGTTTATTTTCTTTGTTCAAACTACAAACTGAGCCGAAACATTGGCTATTTATAATTTATTTATAGCCATTCAAATTTTTCAAATTTTATAAATTATTTTTCAGTTAGAAATAAATAAAAGTTTTTATTTTCATATATAACATAAAAAATGTTAATAGAAGGTTCCCAAAAAATTCTACTTCCTCTATAAAAAAGAAAAAGTTTACCGAGATGCTACTAAATGTATAGCCATAAGATACTTTCAATTTTTATTAATTTTTTTTTAACTATTAAATTTGATTATTTAGACAATTGGTATACTTGGTTGACACAATGTCTCCGCTCAGAATCGTTTTTCGTATACAATGATAAATAATTGAATTCAAATATAACACATCCATTACAATGACATGTTGGGCACTACTGAACTGCGAAGTGGCACTAACTTGTCCACCTTTTTTTAAATTATATTTTATAATACTATAAAAGGTGAAAAATGGTAATAAACGAGAGTGTATAATATAGTGTATATAGAAATTATGAAATTGTTGGCTATGCATAATTTTGTTTATAGCCGATACAGTATCACCAACCACTATAATAGTATTATAATAATATATAACAAATGGTAACACTATATAAATATTTATTTTTTGTGAGCTGAAAATTATATGCATGTTTGAGATACTCTACATATACTCAATAAACACCCTCCAAGTCTCAAGGAATATATTATTTAGATAATACTTTTATTGATTCAAATGTTACATGACAACTAAATATCAGCAAATGTATATACACTGAAGAATTATATATATATATATATAAATATTATAATATTTATCTTAAGGTTGTTCTATTGTACTCTGAGTCCAGGGTGAAGACCTTCATACACGTTACACGGTACACGATTCATATAATATAGTTTATTTAAATTAAATATTATTATAATTTATAACTTAATATTAATAATTACAATACACATTTACTCTTAATATATTTAAAATAATTTGATTGAAAAATCTGATAACAATTAATGATTTGAATCAAAGTTTAAAATTTAAATTCGTTTATTTTTTTGATATATTTCATACATTTCTTAAACATAGCTTTTGATAAATTGATCAACTCATTCAATGGTTAATGATATGATCTGATAGCATATGCTTATATTCGTCCAGACCTTTTCCAAAATGCTCGTTGAAACCTAAACATAAAAAAAAAATTGTGTGTGTCGTACTATCACGAGTACCTACGCTTCTGGGAAGTGAAACTTCTCAGACAGTTTAATAACAAAATAAAAGGAAAATTTCAACTTTTAGAAAAACCATAAAAAATAATTAATGTGTGTGTTACCAATACGCTCGCGGGAAGTGAAACTTTTTTTGAACGGTACACATGAGTTAATATTAATTAATTTAATAAATGAGAGGAAGTTATCAGGAATTATTTATTATTGATACTTATTACTTTTATTATTTTTTATTTTTATTCGACAGATCGATGGATAATTGTTTGTAGTATTGTTTTTATCCAGGTAAAAGGTTTGCGAGGGAATTAATCAATTAATAACAATTAATTAAATATACTAGATGCTAAGTGATATTGGGCTTTCAGTATAGATGCTATAATAATCGATCATTAACTATTCATATTAATTAGTATGGGCCAAGATTAGATGAATCTGTTTTTATTTTCAACGTTTATATAATATTTATTCGCAGCAAAAAAAAGTCACTTAACTAACGCGGCTCACGACCATCACTTACCTCTCAACGCTTGTACCTCTTAATTTTATTTGATATTATAAATAAATTCACTCACAAATCTTTTTTCTGGATAAAAACAATTCTACAAATGATTATCTATCGATCTGGCTAACTTACTTTCATTTTTTGGATTAATTAATAATAACGAACTGTGAACTAATAAACATTTTGAAAGTCAGTCCAATATTCTACAAATTTATTACAAACTATTCATTAACACACACTATTATTATTTAAGTCGTTTCCGGCTAATCATATAATGGTAATGAATCAAACAACCCTAAAAAATGTCAACAAATGTGTTTTTATTTGTATAAGTCACGATAACATATATGTATGGTATATATATATATATATATATATATATATATATATATATGCTGTACGAGGAGCATGGTATATACACGTGTTGTGGTACCCTAACCCAACGCGTATGGGAGTCGAAGAAGTAGCAATAACAAATCATGATAATTGAACCCGCTGTTTAGAGAGACGCTGTTTAGATAGCTAGTCCACCGTCGTCCGATAACGATTATAATACGCTTGTTGTACGGGTGATTTAAAAAGTGTGTCTTGTATTTGGAGTCCATTAGTGGTACAAGATAACATATACAAATGCGATATAAGTGCTTATAGTAATAATATTATATATAATTCGTACTGGTCGAAGCATCGGTGAGTTGTAATGCGAGTCTAAAATCTTGACTGTGTGACAACAAAATCGAATGCACACTTGCGTTGGTATATGCAATATAATATTATATACTATACAGCTAGGGTATTATAATGTGGGCACTAAAGCAAAAAAAAAAATTTGGTTTGCTATAAATTTTTTGAAAAACGATAATTATTTAAGTGCTTTACGATAATATTAGTTTGAGAGTCTGGCAGCACGTTACATTTCTTTTTTTCCTCACTACCCTGCGTAAAGAAGTTTCACTTCAAAAACGGTGACAGTCCACACATCACAATATTTTCAAAATAGTTTGACTCTTTTTGAGATATAGGCACAAGAAAAATAGGCATAAGAAATTATATTTTGTTATTTTTAGTTTTTTTCTAATTTTGTTTATTGTTGATTAATAATAATTTTTTGCTGTGTAGAACTTTAATAAAAAGTTCTAAGTAAGTTTTTATTAATGTTATTAAAAAATAATATGAGTAAAATATCTACAACAATAAATTGTTTATGCATCTGAAGTTATAATTTAAACAACATGCTTCAAAATCACGTATATTTGAAAATATTGTAAATTTTTTACTTAGGTCATAGGTATTAAGAACAAAAATGTAATATTTTGTATTAAATTTTAATATTTTTTGTAAGCATAAAAATATGTTAAGACTACCTTTTTTACTGGATTCCTCAACATCTAAATATGTGTTACAATTATAGTTAGTAATTATTTTGTACAAAAATAAAACACACATAATTTTATTATAAATTAAAATATTTCCAAGAATTTCCTTGGTTAATCAATAACAACAATTTTATACTGTGAGTTACATTTTTATTTTATTATTAAACACAAATTGTATTAACTATTAAGCCATACACGATATTATACTCCCCCCTTACAGACTCTCCTTGAAATTTTAGATTCTGAGTGGAGGAGAACTTAAAACTCTAATACAAAGTTCCCCGTAAGTTGTTATAATTTGTGTAATTAAAAAAAAGTTGAGTTTATATCCACAAATCAAAATAATTGTTTATGATCATCTGAAGTGGGAATTTAGACAAAATTCTTCAAAATAATTTAAAAATTACTAAAAAAAATCGTTATATCTAATATTTTAAAATCTAACACCTCGCAAATTTTTTTATGTAAAAAAAATTTATCTTAAGGTCAAATAAATTTTTTATGAGTGTGTAATCTGTAAATTAACGATTTGGTATCTAAAAGTTTTCTTATTTAATGGTAATTCATAAACGAATAACTTTTGATCCTAGAAATATTGACTAAATGTATATTTGCGATTTTCTGTATAGAATAAAACTTTTCATATTTTCACTTATTTTGAGCTATTTATAGACATTAAAAATTTGATTTTTTTTTTTCTATAAATGTTAATAACATTTTTTTCTACAGGTAAAAAAGCTTGAAAACATAATTCATGTTTTCCTAAAAAATTATCAATCTTCTCCAAAATAAGATCATAATTTTGCCACTAGTGTGAGCCACCCTATACCAACCTCTATACTATAGGGGATGAAATATAAGGTAAAAACACTCAAGTCTCATGGAATCTAAGGATGTTGAAAAAGATTCATTATTATTAGTTTTTGAGTCTAATTATTACAAATTAACAGGCTATATTGACATTTATTTATATATTATACATATATAAATAATATTATGAAATTAATGTATTTTATTTTATTTTATTAAATATACGGGATAAACCCTTTGAACATATATACACATTATACAAATCTATTTACACATTAATTGTACAAATTATGGTAATAATAAATTAATAACTATACAGTAAATTATTTGCTAAGAAGAAATGAATGGTCAACATTGGCATTAGACATCATACGTGAAACAGGCTCATTTTTAAGGTAATTAGTGGATGCGATTGGAACATAAAAAGGAGCAACAGATCGGGATAGACGTTGAGGAACTTTAAAACAAATTAAGGAAAGCAAATAGGGAGAGTCAATATCACCTTGTAATAAACTATTCAGGAACTTAATGCCCGAGATCCGGCTACGCTCAGCCAGCGATACCAGCCCTAGTTGAGAAGCAACTGGTCCATAGTTGTGGGGTTCACAGGGGATATTCAATCTAAAACTAGCATACCTCATAAATGTACGCTGAACCCTTTCAGGCCTAAGAGAGTTATTCAGGTCATGCGGATCCCAAATAACGGCACCATACTCAACAATAGGGCGAACAAGTGCACAATAAAGCACCTTGTATGATAGACCTAACCAAAAATCCCTACATAATCTTAACACAAATCCCAGAGTTTTAAAAGCCTTACAACAAACATGCTCAATATGAGGTCTAGGATCAAGATCACTACTAAGAATAAATCCTAGATCAGTAACATGGCCGTTAGAACATGAAATAGCAGTTGTTCCTAGATGATAAGCATATTTGACAGGGAACTGTATCCTGGCAAAGGTCATGGTCTTACATTTAGAAACTTTAAGGGGTAGCCCTAGTAAATTAAACCACTCCGTGAAGTGATCAAAATCTCTCTGTAACAAAATATAGTCATCCAAGGAGGATATACGAGAGTAGAGCTTAATATCATCTGCAAAACATAAAATCTGGCTATTGGAAAGAACACTTGATACACTATTAATGAACAGAGAGAACAGGAGCGGAGATAGGTGACCTCCTTGAGGAACACTGGACGTAGCAAGATACACATTGGATTTTACTCCAAGCAATTTGACCCATTGGTAGCGGCAAGAGAGGTAAGACGAAAACCAGGACAGGAGTGGCTCACCGATTCCAGATAAGTTGAGGACCTGGATTAGGGCATTGTGATTAACTGAATCAAATGCCTTATTGAAATCAGTGTAAATGGTATCTACCTGTGTTTTCAAATTAAAAGATTGGTATACATAGTTGTTAAAGACTAAATTACAGGTAATGGTGGAACGACCAGGGCGAAAGCCATGCTGTTCCTCCATAAGGATTCTATTGATCGATGGTTTTATACAATGCAAGACCAACAATTCTAAAATTTTGGAAAATTGTGACTGGATTGAAATCGGACGATAGTTGGAAACATTGGACAGTTCACCGGACTTGTGTACAGGGGTAACTGAGCTGAACTTTAATATAGAAGGAAAGATTCCTTCTTCAAGCGAACGCTGAAAAAGGGTCCATACTGGGAAAGCTATAATATTTTTTAATTGATATAAGTACTCACCGGATAAACCATCAGGTCCAATGGACCAGTTAACGTGCAAGTCAGATAAGTGTTTATAAACATTTTCAACAGTAAAGTTAACATTATTAGGTAAATCAAAGGACTTGATACCTAATGATGAAGTATCAAGATTAAGTTGATTATCGGAGAAAACAGAAGAGAAGTACATAGAAAACAAATTGGCAGCTTCCCGCTCGTTAGTAGAGGTTGTCTCCCTATAAGAAACCTCCTTAGGAATCGCACTAAAGGACCTTTTGTTTTTAACAAACTTCCAGTAATCAGCAGGGTTACTATTTAAGTATTATACACAAGAAATAACATTGGTATGTGGTAGTTATTAAAACTCAAATTAATCAAACGCTATAACGGTTAGGCTAGTTTTAATGTCTTCTAGAAATATAATCAAACATTTTAAATTATGTTGAATTTTTTTAGGAAAATTTTTATTACATGTCTACACATAAATATAATAAAATACATATTTTAGATCATGAATATTTTACATAATTTTTATGATCACTACATTATACCAATCATATTTGGATTGATATTATATGGTTGTATTAATTGTCTGATCCGGCGTCGCCCTTGCCAAAGATTTATTTTAGTAGGGATTATGACAAAATCTCCTCCGAAATCATACATAGTGTTCTTATTGATCGGGCGACCGCACCACCTAAAACTTTTAGTGTACAATGGGCCAAAAATTATCATTAGAATTACCATTTTAATAAATTAACTTAGTTTAGTGTTAGGCGTTGGTGTTAGTTGTCATATATTAGTAACAGATTACAACTCTATGTCAAATCGAGTAAGGAAATGCTTAAAAACAGTGGATTATTGTTTTAATTTGCTAGACAGATGGGCCACTTTTGTATTTGCGACATTCTAAAATTGTCTTATTCATACAAACCTTGTCCTCACAATTACAATCACAACAAAAATAGAATTAGTCAAATAAGTGTAGCTGCATTGAAGTGATATACAGACAGACATTTGTTGATTTTATTTATAATATTATAGATATATTATAGATATGAATAAATTGTATAGTATAATATATAATATTATTATTAAGTACCTATTGTTTTAATCAAAATAAATACAATTGTTATGTGGTAAATATAACTTAAATTGTTTACCTGTTTCAAGTGGAGCTTTGTTATCATCTTTATCTAGAAATAAAATCAAACATTTTAAATTATGTAAAATTTTTTTATGAAAGTTATGACATACCCATCTACGCATAAATATAATATAATACATGATTATAGATCATCAATATTTTTGTTCATAATTTGTATTTTACATTCGGCTATCATATTTAAATTATTATACCTAGTATAGTTGTACTACTAGTACCTTCTGGCACATTGACCAGCCGGTCTTACTAAAAAAATTATACGGGCAGATAGTGATGACGTAATATTTCTTATCAGTATTATCAACAATTTTGTTTTGGATCCAAACAAACTATTTTGCTTATACAAAATTATGTACTTTTTACTTTTTTAGTTTAAAAGTTCAAGACTTTCTACTGAATATTTAAAATTATAACAATAACAAGAGGTAAGATCATAAAATGTATATTAATTATTATTTAACCCTACACAAGATTAAAATATAATGAATTATTAGTACTACTTACCAGTGCCGTGCAACACAGGGAACATTTTGGAGCTGCTGTACACGCTTCGTTTCACTATGAAAATCAATTTTAGTAGATAAATTGGGCGGTCTTAAATAGTTTTTAATAGTTAGGGCTGATGTACAATGCACATCAGTTAGTTAATACTAAATAGTATTAATAGTAAATACTGCTCTTGCATGAATTTAATTAAAAACTCAGATACTCATAACTTAAATTTTTCTTATTGCTTATTTTGCTTTTGCTGTTTTATTTGACTATAGCTAAAATGGTTATGTGCTATGCTTATGGTTGCAATCACTATAACAAAAGGGATAGCTGTACATTTTTTAGAATTCCTAAAAATGCCAAAGTTAAAAAAAGCTGGTTAAAGTTGCTCAGGTTTGTTGTAAAAAAACTGCCATGCTTTTTTATTTTTTAAAAACCAAAAAGAAACCCAAATCTAAATGTTAGTTTTTCTGGGAGCCAAACCAGAACCGTAGAGATCATCAAGGTTCCAGTCCCTAAGAACAATCCTTAGAATTACCAAAAAGTCTCTCAACAGATCAAACAACCAGCTTATATCTATGACAACCAATCAGAAAACGCCATACACATACGAACTACCACCGTCACATTTAGCACTCCCGTAACACGACACATACCAGTAACAACTATTTTGTAAATCAACTTACTGGGCAATTCACCGGCAACAAAGTTGTACTAAAAACTTGACGATGACACCCTTGAAAAGTAGAGATTCTGCCCAACATTTTAATATAACTACTGACCTCGTGGGAGAAGTAGCGGCAGAGTTAAAGGAGAAAATGTGCCGAAAAGAAACACAATGTGGGCAGACGTACGCATTGTGTATACTAGACGATACAGTAGGTAGTACAAGTACCGGTGATATTCAGAGAGTAAGCCATCATTTTCTTCCAACCTTCAAACCTTCAATAGCAATATCAATTACACCAGAACAGAAGGATTTGAAGCTGGAAGAAACGAGCAGAACGACGACCAGTCGCAAACAGCCATCGACAACAAGCCGCTGTCAACCGTCAACGGTCGAACCAGCAACGGCAGACCAGAGTGGCAGAAACATTGCGGGTTGCCTATTACCCGACGAAGACTGAACCATCATACTACCTGCCATATCACTTATGAATCGTCTCACTGGACCATAATGACTACATGGACGATTCACTGCCTACATGGACGGTTGCCTGTGTCTTAGTTTAACTTAGTTTAATGTTGGGCGTTGGTGTTTGTTGTCATCTATTAGTAACAGATTACAACTCTATGTCAAGTCGAGTAAGGAGATGCGTAAAAACAGTGGATTATTGTTTTAATTTGCTAGACAGATGGGCCACTGTTGTATTTTCGACATTCTAAAATTATCTTATTCATACAAACCTTGTCTTCACAATTACAAACATAACAAAAATAGAATTAGTCAAATAAGTGTAGCTGCTTTGAAGTGATATACAGACAGACATTTGTTGATTTTATTTATAAGATTATAGATATATTATAGATAAGAATAAATTGTATAAAATACATGTAACACACCTACCGTTCCAAAGCCTACAGTACCAACCCCTCCCAAAGGCCTAAGTTGCCGCGGGATAATAAATAAAAAAAAAAAATTGTATAATAAAATATATAATATTATTATTAAGTATTGTTTGATCAAAATAAATATAATTGGTATGTGGTAAATATAACTTAAATTGTTTACTTGTTTCAAGTGGAGCTTTGTTATCATCTTTATCTAGAAATAAAATCAAACATTTTAAATTATGTAAAATTTTTTTATGAAAGTTATGACATACCCATCTACACATAAATACAATATAATACATGATTATAGATCATGAATATTTTTGTTTATAATTTGTATGATCATATTCGGCTATCATATTTAGATTCTTATAATATAGTTGTACTACTAGTACCTTCTAGCTGTCTTACCCTGCGTTGCCTAAGATTTTTTTTTTTAATAAAATCTATTAATTAAATATACAGGCTATACCAACATTTATTTATATGATATATACATTTAATACAGGCACACCCGTAGATAAGTAGCTCACTATGTACAAAATACTTTTAGTCACAAAATAAATGTATTAATAGAAGCGTGGTATTACAGTTCTTTCATCACTGTACCCTATACTAAAGTTCGACGGACTGCGTTTTCTTAGAATTGGTATTTACTGGTATAAAAAAATACCACATTCTGTATTTGTTTTTACTTTTGGTCATAATCAAGGAAAAAAATTATAAATTAACAGAGAAGGAATTTTTATATTTTATTTTTTATTTGAAAAATCCAAAATTCTCTGGCGATGCATATGTTAATGTGCATATGCATAAGTTCTGAGGGTATTGCGTGTAAATTTATTCCAGAAACTCCACCAAACCTGTCTCTACATTGTTTAATTTCTAAGTTCATGTTTTATGTGATATGTATGTATATAATGAACATTAGGAGGGTTTGGCCTTTGGCATATGTTTATGTGTTGGAGGGGAGCTTCTAGGAGATCCAATGAAGTAGTCTGAATGGGATAGAACAACTTGGGAAATACATACTATTCTACTGATCTAGTATGCTTAACTTTTGGTCCCCCTGCAATAGTGGTTAGGTGATAAGCATTCTAAAATATTTTTCTAGATCTGTGATAAATATTTGTTCATCAAATATAATACTGTCTGTGTAATTGATACCCAGATATTTTATCTGTTTATTTGGTGTTATTGCTTGTATGGTGAATTTGTCCGATAATATTAGGTTGTTAGGAGATGGCTGTCCCTCTCGGATGTGTATGGCAAATGATTTTTCAGGATTAATCAACATCCCTACTTGTCTGAAGGCTAATTGCAAGGACTCGACTAATATTGTTGCACTATTTTTGTTACGGGCTATAAATCTATAATAACCGTGTAATCGGCAAACACCAATGCAGGCAATCTTTTGAGAGCTCGAAGCCGTTAACCTTTGCCATGTCCTTGTCAGAAATCAGCTTCAACTCAAAAACTTGACGTACGTTAAAGATTATAGAGAAAGAGAGAAGCCTTGTACTACACCGCGAAGGAAGTGTACTATAGTCAGTCGTCTGCTTATTCACCTCTATTTTAGTTGATTTTTATGTTGTTAGGGATATTAGGGTTTTGTAGATTGTTTGGTAATGATAAACATTGGAACGTGTGATGTATCTTTTCATATTCTACCATATCCAAGGCTTTGGCTAAGTCAATCATTACTATGCAACAATTATTCCACTTTTATTTAGCTATCATTAGGCAACCGTCAACGAGTGATGCATTTATATGGGCTCCGGGCATTCCATTAATGAATTCGAGCTGTACTTTTCTACATTTCTCAAAGCCTGGTCTAGACTTCACTCAATGATTCTACGTATGACACTGAAAATTGTTATTGGCCTCCAATTGGGTACGTTTGGTTCATACCCCTTTTCCTTGTATATGAGAATGGTACTCAATGTTCGGAAAGCTAATGCAACGTAATTCCATTCTAACATTACTTTACCGATTAATACTTGGCCCATATAGCATAAATACACTTGACATTTCGTATTGTATGAAGAACAATTCCGTCAGAATCTGGGGATGTGTCCATCGAAATCTTTTTAAATGAAATCTCGATGTCATCTTCTGTTACAAAAAATGCCCCATCACTTATCAGTATCTCTGCTGGGTTCGTATGTTTCAGGTATTCAATTGTTAGATAAATCGAAGAGGGAAAGGTAATATTGTTCAATAGCTGGTATTTCCTTTTTAAGATTGGCTTTCACTTATTTTTTTTCCCCGTCGTTTAGAGTATCTTTATTTTTGAGCTGTAGAAGGTGGTCCACTGTATTTTGTGAGTGTATTGGAGTGTCTATATTTCTGGATTCGACTGAATGGTTGGATTTACCGTGTGTATTATTGACTATTCTTTGCACTCTGATTACCGCTCATGAACTAGACGCCCTGGCGAAGTGGCCATTTAGTGAAACGTATTTTCTACCACAGCCTGGACATTCGATTTTTGGTTTGGAGCTTGAGGTTGTGTCTGCACTAGTATTTATTCTGTCGTATGCCTGATGTTGATTTTAATTTAACTGTTCAATATTAAGATATTACAGTCGACGGAGCGCCTGTTGAAGTTCAGATATGCATAATTTGGGTAATATAGGAAGATCAATAATGGGGCAGATGTCAGTCACTGCATAAAATATATAAGATTTTTAGGTATATGGTAATTATTAAAACTTAAACAATTTACCAGTTACAGGCGTTTGACCATCTTTTTCTAGAAATATAAATCAAACATTTTAAGTTATTTTACATTTTTTTAGAACTATTATTAGGTACACACATATCTACATACAAACACAATATAATACATTGTTATAGGTCATGGATATTTTTGTACATTTATTTTATGATCACTACCAGCTATCATATTTAGATTTATATTATATAATTGTACTTGCTGACCCACCCGGATGTGCCAGTGTCAAATATTTGTTTTTTTTTTTACAAAAAAGTTTTAAATAGATTTAAATGTATTATAATCAATTGTTCTGCAATGTGATTGTAATTGTATCTTGTATTGATTCATCAAGGCATTTCTGTTGACAATTCAAATAACGTCAATAGACATACTTTATTATTACTCCATTATTATTATCTGTATTCATTTTGATTATATAAATTATCATATGATATCTTCTTACTATTATTAATCATTGTTATTTATCATAAAACGCTTAAATATTATTATTATGTACAATTCATAATTTATATTACTAGTTAAATTACTTCACCCATACGTCAACCTACATTTTATTAAAAGGCGCAAGTCGTCGGACTAACTTCTCATCCAGTAGGAGTTCGTCCGCGCAACAATTATAACTATACTTTCTGCATTTTCTTTCTTTCTAGAACATGGACAAAACTAGCTTAGAAAAAGTGAAGGCATATCGAGATTTTTGTTTATAAATATATTTGTAATAAAAAGTGTACTCATGCCATATTATAAACAAATTAAATACAAATCTATATATTATGCCTTCATTATCTACCGAAATCGTGTTGTAATTATTAATTAGTCTGGTCAAAAAAGGAAAAAATTAGCAATCGTGTTGTAGCTAGCCTAATTGAGAGAGTTTGGTACTTTTGATGTTTTGACGATAACACTGAACATGTCTTTTTCTATGGACAATACACCTTGATTGCGAAGTTGCTACGAATACCTCCAAACGTATAAACTAATTCATTCAAAACCAAAGCATCTATTGCACAATTGACACAATACACATTACACAGCTATGGCAGCTTTAAACTTAAGTTGATTTCAACCGCAATATTTTAATAAAACTGCATTGGACCCACTATGTTTTAACTTGACCACTTCTCCCCAAAATTCAGTTGAAAAAGAAAAAGAAATAAACAGAATATTACGGCTTTCACGAGAACGTAGATCCGCAGAACAACATTTGCAAGAAGATGAAAATATTAGAATCGGGATGGCAAGGCTACAACATGATGGCCCACCAAATTTGTAATACGATTGCGCCATGGTCTCTTTTTACCTGTTAAAGTCACAACACGATAGCGCACAAAATTATATGTGTTTAATGTATATGTTACGGGCAAAGTAGGAAATTGGGAATTGTGCACAGTGCCTATTTAGATTTTGGCACTCTAGGTTAAATATTGAATATATTAAAAATCAAATAAAACATTTTACTTCATTTTTTAATAATCATAAAAAACCTTTAAGTATAAGTTGCCTTTTAATGGTTTTTAAATCTATTACCCAATATATGGTACTTCCTACTGAAGAATTCATATTTTAATATTTTAAATTTAATTAATTGTTACTAAAAAGTAGTCTTATTCACGTAAGATAGGCTTATATTACTTAATTCATAAACACATAGGTAAACAACTATTATGGCTTTGAGTTGAAAAGTCGACTAATTTGTTTGCATTTACACCATTTGGTATTACATAATAATACAGTTGTAATGATGGATTACGCGACATCGTGACAATATAATCATTCGATTTCGAATAGGTAGGGGTTTTATGATTATATAATACAATATTATCTGAATTATACTGTTTGAAATTATAGCTTTCGAGCAAATGCTCAATATACTATGTGATCACATTGTCGTTGAAATTACGAATCGGTTAGTATTATCGGCAGCCGTGAGCGTGTATGTTGCGTGCAATTAGATAGGTATCTCGTAACTCGTAAGTCATGGTATATAACGAATAGAATATGTAAGAACAGTTTTGTAGTGTAATTGTTATGAATAAATACTATTCGACATGAATGTGCGCAGTAATTAATTAATTAATTAATTCACTTTGCCCGGGATATCTCGTACAATGTCGGGTCAATGTATGAAAAAAATTGAATATTAAAATGGTCATTCTTACATTGTCAAAAATGTTCGGTCATTGTGCACAAGGCCCGGTCATTTCATAACAATGTCCGATTTCCTACTTTGTTCGTAACATATATAATATGTATAATTTATTTAAAATATAAAATAATATAAACAATACATATTTTCTATAATTTTCATACACGCGTGTACTCAATAACTTATTACCTATTAATTCATATTTTTAATTATAAATTATTTCAAACTTATAGGACTGACAACAAATTATCATCGTTGGCTTGGTTGAAAGTTGTTTTTTTTTTTAAATGACATGTAGGTATACTGAATGTATAATATTCAATAGTCAATAATTTTTTTGTTTATATAAATATAAAACTTATGAATCATAATTATATATTTTCAAATAAGTGAATGTATTTGAAAAATTAAATTTTGTGACGGAACAGTCATCCTACCCAAAACAGTCCTTATCAGGACCACCAATCACAGCACAGTAAATAACACAAAACACCACAACAAGGAATTAAATTACCAATCGGATTAATTCTAGCTGACCCAAAATACTACAAAAGTAATAAAGTTGATATGCTTATTGGATGTGAATGTTTTAGTGAACTAATACAAACAGGACTCTTCAAATTATTAAACCACCACCCAACACTTCACGAGACTGCTCTGGGCTGGGTAGTAGCTGGTAAATTAAATGTAAATGATGACAAAAAAAATACTGCAAGTTACCTTTGTACAAATTCAAATTGTCAAGTAACAGAAACCATCAACCCAAGAGAAGAGTTTTTGTCAGATATAACCAAACTCTTAAATAATCATGATTTATCATCTAAAAGCAAGTTGTTATGTCTAGCTCCAATTGTCGATCAAGAAGGAGTTCTTAAAGTTGGTGGGCGACTTAGACATTCATCCTTTACAAATGATAAGAAACATCCAACTTTATTGCCAATACAACATCACACCACCAAATCGATTGCTAATTATTTGCAAGTTACCAACCTGCATGTAGAACTCCAGACGTTCCTAACCATCATGCTTCAGAAGTACTCGCTACTGAATGGAAAAAACTTATGGAAACAAATTGTCCATTCATGCATGGTATGTTTCAAGACAAAATTCAAATTTCATTCTCCACTTATGTTAAAACTACCAAGTGCAATAGTGCAACCATTCACCAACACTTTCATTGGCTTCTGTGGACCTGTATACATTTTACAATCAACAAACAAGGTAAAAACATACATATTTGTATTTGTCTGCATGGCTATTAAAGCAGTGCATCTGGAACTTGTGAGTATCCTTAGTTCCAACGCATTCACCGAAGCACTTAAATGGTTCCTATATAGAAGAGGAAACATGTGCAAACAAATTTATTGTGATAATGGAAAAAACTTTGTTGGAGCAGCCAGAAGCCTAACAGAACTTTATGAATAGGTTATCAAAATTAAGGACAACATTTCTCAAGTATGTCTACCAGATTGTATCGAGTGGCATTTCATACCACCAAATTCTCCACACATTGGTTGGATTCTGGGAAACTTGTGTGAAGTCAGTAAAATATCACATGCATAGAATCATGGGAACTGAATGTTTAACTTTTGAACAAGTTTCTACTCTTCTTTCTCAGATTGAAGCTTGTCTCAACTCCAGACCGATTACATCACAGTCCAATGATCTCCGATTACCAAAATTACTTTCTATAAAAGTGTGACATTTATAATTCGACTGTGTCTCCAAAATTGGTACTCACTTACACCTAACACGGAGGGGGGGAGTGGGTCTAACTATATTTTCCATTCTTCAGTTACCTACGCTACCAACGTGGTGCGCAAAACCTGGAATGCATACCTGGTAATATACGCTTCGATTCGACGCAGTCGGATTTCCTACCTATGTGATTTGATGGCTGATAGCTAAATAATCGAATACACATATCGACTCTACACTTTTCAACAATTTTAAGTTTTGTCAAAAGCAGTGGTCAAACGCCAGGAGACCCTGGAGATCGTATCCAGCCTATCCATTTACAACATTCTTGATAGAGTGCTAGACTCTCTAACTTTTAAACATTCCCTCTGAAAAAGTCAAGCCTTATCTAAAATCCATATCACTAATCCATATCACAAATCGTAAACTTTCGTCTTACATCTGTCTTGATTTTTATAATTCAAACGACTCTTACTCTAAAATCTGTTCCCGCTCTCAGCGAGTCCAACGGGTCCGTCCCCGAGTTTCACTTAGAGCTAGTAGATAATAAACTGAATTGCTACTCTGACAAGTGGACCGGATGACGCAAGTTTTTCAACATATGGATTGTGGGTTATGGTATTTTATAAATTTTTATCATGATAATAATACACAGAAATAGATATAATACAATGATAAATTTGATTTACGTTTCATGGAATGCTGGACCAACGAATTGCTTTTAGGGTAATGTTACTCCTCCATTGTTGTAATTAGTTTTCGATTTTCGCTTTTGTTCCTTTTGCCATTCTTGTATTGTACGAGCATCGACGGCATCCTGACAACTCCATAGTCATGATCATACTAACACATCCTTACAAATCTATATTATATATACAACCCTATATATATTATAACGCTTATCACTTGCAAAATTAATCGAGCTGGATGCTAATAGTATAGTCATATACCTAGTATGTAACCATCGGGCAATGGTAACCCTATAAAAAAAAATATTCCTTTATCGTGAGGGGAAAACTATATTTATGTGTGACCTACCCTTCCATTATCTATAGGGGTCTCTAGGAATCCATTGATATAACTTTTATTGATAACGGTCCAGTTGTTGAAATGTTGGGTACACGTTCACTAACATCCCTAACACGAAACACTACATAATTATGCGTATACAAAGATAATATTATGAGATTATTGTTATAGACAGAATACATATAATTGTGTATTTATCATATAATATGTTGTAATGACGAGTACCTAATTATCTTATCTTAAATTATTTATCAGCTTCAGGTTTTTGAGTTTGAGTTATGTTACCATCTTTTTAAGATATTTTAAATTATATTACATTTGAGTAGAACAATAATTTATTTTATAGGCTTTAATCTATCATTTTTATAATCACTATCAAATTTAGTTTGATATTATATAATTATATTATAAATATAACGTGATATAATATATAATATAATGAGATTATTGTTATAGACAGAATAAATAATATTGGTAAGTCGTAATTATAACTTAAAATATTTACCAGTTACTTCCGGCTTTTTATCTTGAAGTTCTAGAGAAATAACAGAACAATTTGAATTATTTTAAAATTGTTTTATGATATTTTATGAGATTATTGTTTTAGATAGAATAAATAATATTGGTACGTGGTAATTATAACTTAAAATATTTACCAACTACTTCCGGTGTTTTAGGATCTAGAAAAATAACAGAACATTTTAAATTATTTTTAAATTGTTTAGAACAATAATGGTTAATATTAATTATTATGACATTGAAATTGTATTCAAACATATTTAGTTTATTATTATAGAATTATTAATTAGGTATATCGTATAATATATAATAAATGTACTATTATATTTTATGATCATACATAATACCCATATGGCTATATAGTATTGTTTATAATATTCCTGAATAAACAATTTTTATGTTTAACTAGGTACCAACCTAGTATGACTTAATATGTGTAATCTACATAAAATATGAAAATTATAGTTACCATTGACACCTTGTGACGACAAATGGATAAACGTCATGCTGATGTATAGCACTATTAGTATAACGTTTAACTTGAATAAAATTGATGTCATTTTTTTATGAAAATAGGTAGGTATGGACTTTTCTGAAGACAACTTCTTACTGTTTTTCAGTAATAACAAAAGAAACATACTAGAACCACTGCATTTTATAAGCTTTTATGTTTGTTTAGTTGTTTTTGATTTTATTTGTTTATAATTGTGTTGGCCATAATTGCAGGTCTGAGTGACTGTATCTATATTTTGTTGTCAAATAACCGAAAACGTCCATTCTATTACATAATACTGATATTATACGATAATAGGTATGCAGCAGTCTTGTAAAGTAAAATTTTTTAAAAAGTAGGTATTCGAATACTATAAGAGTACTTGTTTTCACAACTAGTTTTTGAATTTTCGGTAATTAACATTTATTGATTAATGATTACAAATACATCATAATCATCAGTTATTTATAAATTTAGACCACATATGATACGGCCGATATGGGCCATACTGGATACAACACATTATTGTTTATAAAAAAAATCATAAATATCAAGGGCCAATATTATATTTCGTTCAAAAAATAAAATTAATGTTCATGATTTATAATAATATTATAATATATTTCATATTATGTATTGTCACAAATTTAAAAGTATTTTTTTAATGAATAAATATACAAATAAAAGTATTCAAATAATTTACAAGACTGGTATGCAGTTTTGTAATGCACTAAAATAACTAAAATAACATCGGTATATAAGGGCGAAGTCGATAAAATCTATGTAGATTGTAGGTATATAGAATTTTTGTTGAAAAATTTTCATTTATTTATAATGTGTTTTTCCTTCTTATTACTTTATTGAATATTATTAAAACGCTCTCTATAGGTTTGCCTATATTCTTCACACAAGAATGTTGTAGATATCCACGATATTCAATTTGTATGTAGGTATAATCGTGCTAGAACGGTTTGTTTTTAATTTTTATAAACGATTGAGTAAACCCACGATATAATGAGACATTAGGGTGCTTATTCAAAAATATTACATAACAAATTAGGTGTTTAAAATAAGACATCGATGGAATTACAATCAAGTATAATATTTATTAACTCCAAAATTGTACAATACGATATTATAATTAGGTCATATCATATTATACCGATTCCGCTACTATTGCAATATACTATATAGTAACTATACTATACGAAGTATTTAGTGTTTATGTTACTTATGTCAATATAATAACTTTGGAGTTCATAAAAAACAAGTGTGTTACTTACCAACCGCTATACCTATGAATAATACTAATGTTCAAGTGCTCTGGAAACAAAAGTTTAGACAACAACACATATTATAGGTACCTACAATAAGAATGCCTATTATATTATAAAATATATTTTCATAAACAAAAACTGTATTTAGGTAAACACATTTTTATTCTTTAGATTCTGAGCGGAGTGATAAATGTAGGTATTGAATTTATAATGATGTGTTTTTTAATTTTTTATTTGTGTCGGTGTACACGATAAGTAGTTGAAATAATACTTCGATTACAAAACAAGTATAAAATAATAATTTATCTAGTCATTCAATACAAGAATAATATTTTGTATCCAAAATCATCCACAATTTGTGTAATCGCGCCTCCGCCGTTTTTTGTTTATTTGAACAGCTGAGTAAACCCACATTGCGAGACATCGAGGTGCCTATTTAGAAAACCAATTATCATTTAACCAAAGGCATGCTTGCTTGGATCATATATTTATTAAAACTAGTAATGCAAAAAACTCCAAAATTGAAGCAGGTGTCATTCAGACTAATATTACTGATCACTTTTCCACGGTTTTGGCAATAGAAGTTGTAAAATAAAAGAGTGTTTTAAATTGTAATGTTGAAATTATCAAATATAATGATCTAAACGAGTTATTTAAAAATAAATCGTGTGATATCCCCTCGAGATATCCCCCAAAAGTTAATTCTACTTATTGTAACCTAACCTAAAAGGCTAAAAGACAAAGAGTTTTTGTTTTATTTAAACTGGACCGGACACCAAATTGTCCGGCGCATTTTCTTAATCTAAACGTTAACCAACAATTATTATTTACTATACCCATGATCATAAGAACGTCTTTTTCTCAAATAGGATTGGTTTTCATGAATTAATTTCAACAAAAATATTGCATTATAACGTAATTTATTAGTTTTAAGAAATTTATTAGCTACTGATATAATATAAGAGCTAATATATAGGTATAATATATTGGGCACACAGATAAAGCCCTTTTAGTAGCACATAGATTATGTTCCATAATTTCACAAGCGTCTAGATGAATAGTTACAATAAAATTATAATAATAATACTAAAAAAAAAAAAATACAAATACAAATACAAATTGCAAAGTTTTATAACAATTTACAATAAAAGTAATTTTCCTCGTCCACATATATATAATATAATATAATATAATACTATTTTTTCAAACTTAAAAAAGATAACTGGTTTACTATTTACGTATAGATATAGGTACACTTATATCAATAATACTTGTCAGTGTATAATTCAAATCCAACAATTCTACATAATAACGTTTTTACAATCACAGAAAAATTAATTGTCATAATTTTAACTTACTTTAGTTTGTGTTTTATTTAAATGGTTATCGGTATTATAAATCATGGATTAAATAATAATAATGTATGTAAGCTATCTATAAATTAAAATATTTATTACATACATTTACCTCCACATACGTAATAATACTATCGATTAAAATTTAAGACAATATATTTTTATAAGTCGTTTCAATTATAATAATAATCTTATGCATATAGATATATAGTTATATATAGGTAATATATTGATTATTTTAAAGCTCAAAATGAAAACTTTATTATTATCTGATAGTTGCTTATCATAATAAATTATTATTTTATTAGTTCATAAACTTATATGGGTATTTTATTTAAAATTTTTAAATATGCCAATATTAATATGGGTTGTGGAAAAATTCCAATGTGGGTTTTTTAACTGATGTAATTTCATGTGTAATTAAGAATAATAGTAGGTATCTGATTTAGGTAGATGTTATATAAACGAACCATTACTATTATTTTTCAAAACTACATAATATAGTTCTTGAACGCAACAATTATTTGTTTTATTCAACTTATTATAAGATTTTTGATCTATAGTGTAACATTATTAGTTTAAAGTTAATAAAACAACTAAAACTATTCAGTTTAAAAAAGTAAATTTAATCATGAAAAAAATGCATGTGTAACTGTATTGATATAAAACATCTAGCAATATTTTGTCATGAAAGAATTAACATGTAGGTACAACAACCCGAATATATAATTATATATGAATACATGGATATATAATTCATAAAATTGGGAATTTTGGTAACACGTCATTCAAGTTGTTTCACTTAAAATTGAACTAAAATTACTAAGAGGATTTAACTCCATAAGTCATTTAGTTCCTCTCCAATTAACGAAATGTGGTTTCTCAGTAAAACTGTACCTACGCCTATGATGTATTCGTAAATTATCAAAAACTATTAGATCAACTAAACGTTTACCATTTAAATTCAATGCTCGAATTGGGAGAAGGGGGGACAGGTAGATAGAGCTCCTTCACTATTTTTTTTTTATATTTTGAGACCACGCCTACTAATTATTTGCATTAAAATTTAGTACTTATATTAATGTACGTTTTTTTTTTACAACATTTTTTAACGTACATTATTTTTCCAATTGTTATTTATTCCGTAGGTAAATAATATGTTCGAATTGAATTTGAAGAAAATTTTCCTACAACTTAATACATATTATTACTATGATACTGCGTTACAGCAGTGAGATATAATTAGTCATAATATACATTAATAAACATTTAATTAATTATAATTATTTTTAATGTGAATAAATAACTATTGCTCAAAACTATTTATTTTAATCAATCATAAGTAGTTGTTACTGTCATACTCGTATAGTAGCATATTGTAATTGTTTGTTAAAGATTGACTGTTGGTGGTAAGTGGGGCTTTGCTAAGTTAGGTTGAGTTCGATAATTCCAAAGGACATTCTATTTTTCAAGTACAGTTACAATAAGAGTCTCTTTTTTATTTTTCCAATTCGAGCACTGTTTTTAATTAAGACATTCAATGCGTTACATACAGATTTCTCAATACAAAGTATAAAATCTATTTTATAATAATTTGGTTAATAATTTAAATAGAAGTTCAGGAGCTGATATTGTTCTAATATATAGATGGATATGTTGAATGATATGATAAAACTGCAGTAAGTGATGAATATGTTTAATTTATTAGGTATAGTAATTGTTATATAGGTAATGGATTACGTTTTCAGATAACTTAACTATTTACTTTTAATATATTTTAAGTTTGTAAATATACCAGTAGGTAATTAAAAACACACAAAATTAGTTTTTAGAAGTAGAGGATTTTTAGCTTATTTCGATGACCATAAGACACGTTTTCAAGAGAAAAAATGTAACATAACTTATACCTTCTCCACTACATCCATGTCTAAAATAAAATGCAATTATTATAAAAATGGAAGTTCATATTTTATACATTTAAATTTTGATTACAATGATTTGTTATTATTATTTTAATTGACAAAGTTAATTATTGGATGATAATATGGTTACATACATAAAGGTAAAAATGATATGTCAAATAAAAACAAAAGTTTGAAGTATCTTTAGGTAATATGATCAATTTGATTTTAAATTCAAGGAAAACAATTAATTTTATTAATTTTGAAAATATGTAAAATGAATCACATTTTAGAAAGTTAAAGAAAATTAATTGAAGGAAAGAATTGTATGTTTCTATTTCCTAACATAACAGTATTATTTTTTTCAGTTATAGAATGTCAAAATTTTTTTAAAAAAATTTACATAATTATTATGTCAAGATGGCTAGTTATATTTTCATTATTTTCAGTATATTAATTTATCGATTTTGTTTATGAATA